CAAATCAAAGTAATCTTTTAAAAAATAAAAATAGATGAGTAATCAGAGAAAGAAAACAAATGCTTAGGGCTCTCATATGATATGGGCAACAGACCACATATTAAAAATGACATTGATTAAGCAAAGAAAGAAACATACTCATACAGCTTCAAAACCACCACTTCACCACTGAGTAACGCACATGATCCACCTGGAGTAGCCATTTGTAGAGCAACGCTGAATAATATGCCCTATTAAAAAAACATATTACATAATTTAACAGATATCATACTTGTAAGCTTTTTTCTTAAGTACAAAAAAGAAAATGATAAAGATTGATTAATCTACATGGGGTTTTGCATCATCCGGTACACATAGCCTCACTACTAGAAAAAGGTTAATATAGTACGGTTGAAATTATGAATATAGTACGTACATAGCAGGCGTATTAGTAGAGGGGTGTATATTAGATTACATGCATAATAAAGTACAACTATTTAACCGTATTATATGTATCCTATACCATTCCATACAATCATCTAGTACGCCATATATACACATCTAGTACACCAATAAACAACCGTACTTGATGTCTCAAGTATCATCTAATACACCATATGTACACATCTAATACACCAATAATAAACAACTGTACTTGATGTATCAAGTATCATCTAATACGCCTTATATACACATCTAATACACCAATATACAACCGCACTTGATGTCTCACATCCCCATTCCTTCCGGCCCATTCTGGCTTTGCATTCCAGCCTTATTAATCAGCCAATTCCACTCTATGGATGTTGCGGAACACATGGATCACCACTCCAACTGAACCAAACTCAACTGTTAAATTTGATAGATAGTCTTTGGAATGGTCTCTAATCAATGTCACACTTCTTTTTTTCTTTTCTGGACGATCCATTGTATGCCTACAAAAACATAAACACTCATATAATTAATTCTAAGAGTCTCAAACAAATATATATATATATATATATATATATATATATATATATATATATAATCGAAGATACCCAAGGTAAGTTTATGTTCTTTTCAAAGCAAATTCAATGCTTTATGTACTCTTGATTCATATATTAACTCAAATAATGTTTGTTAATATGTATATCAAATGCTAGTTAATATGTATACCTTGCTTCAAGATGTTTTGATTTGGGTTTACCAACACTTCTTTTTCTGGTTTTTCTTTCTACCATACAGATCCTCCTACTCTTGGTTGTTTGCACTAGTACCTGATCTATATGTAATGGTAAATTTCTGATGTATAACCTCATACCTGTTGATAAGAAAATGAGCATAAAAATGATCACAAAAAATGATGAGGGTAATGATATGTTAAAGATTATGACTTAATCCAACTAATGAGAATATTATGACACTTTTTTTTTATATATGAAATGAGAAGCAACTCTGATGTTCTGTATAATGTTTGTATAGAATGTTTTGGTAATTCAAGAATCCATGAAATAATCTTGAAAAAGATGCATCACCTAATCTTTTCACATACAACATCCAAAACATAAAAAAATCATACCCAAAAAAGTGTGATATAGTCATTTCATTTAGGATAGAGACCTTGATGGTTATATAACATAAAAATAAGGACCAAAATTACATTTGATGCAATTTATAATCAAATACAGCAATAAACAATTACATTTGATGGAAAAAAAAAAAAGAAATATGATGCAATTTATATCCAGCCCTTATTGATGATGGGAACTGCACGAACGGTCAAACAAAAGAGGCGTTTTCACTTCATAATGAGGTGGTTCAAATGGGTTTAACTCCAAATGTTGTAACTTATACTTCATTGGTTGATGGTTTATGCAAACAAGTGAAATCTGCAAGGGTATGTTGGGAAAAGGTGTTTCCCCGAATACCAACACATATGATGTTCTAATAAGAGGACACCGTAAAGCAAGGAATATGAAGGAGGCATGGTTTTTGTATAGAGAAATGGTGGAGAAGGGATATGATCTCACAGTAAATGGTTATAATGCTCTCATCAAGGGGTTCATTAAAAGGAAAAGAGATTTGGAGGCAAAAAGTTGTTTGATGAAATGGAAAAAAAAATTCCAAAAATACCCTTTGGACTTTTCTACAGTCAAAATCAAAAGCATGATATCGATATGATATGAGTTAAGCTTTCAACATGCATCCTCATATAATGTACAATTCCATTCAGGTGAAAAAGCACTTGTTTTCAAGAATATAAAATAGTTCACTTGCAGCATGGAGAGGCAAAAGCACGTTTGTAACAGAACTAGTAGTGATAACAGATTCATCATACCCATCGGTGGACCCCACTGACCTCCCACCTTCTGAGAAAAGATCACCAAACAAAGGTGTTCTAAAACACAATGCTGTTGCGCAAAATTGTGTGAACTAAGTGGAGAAACGCCTCCAGTAGCAACACTACAAGGCTTTCGATATTGAACTCAGTAGAAACATTGTTTGTGGCAAACTCGTATCTACTTGCAAACAAACTAGACAACACGTTGATAAATGATGCAAAAGATCCCAACAGCTTAGCATAATATTCAACATATCAAGGAGACAAGGAATATGAAGGAAACAAAATAGAGTCAATGATGTTAACAAACTATATGAATGGATGCTAATGCTACTCCAAAGATGTACAAAATAGAATTGATGATGCTTTCTAGGTTTATCAACAATCAATATGAAGTAATATGTCGTACACAAAGAAGACATTTTTATAAACAAAACATTAATCAACGAATCAATCAACTACACCGAAAGGCCGATCGTACCTGTAAACAATGTGAAAGAAGGAGGAGGCGGAAGCCGCTGTAGGAGACTTCGTATGTGTTGTCGACCGGAGACCGGCGGCGGAGGCGTCGTTGGCCGAAGGCGGAGGCCAAAACAATGTGAAAGAAGGAGGAGGCGGAAGCAGCTGTAGGCCGGATTAGGAGACTTCGTATGTGTCGTCGACCGGAGACCGGCGACGGATGCGTCGTCGGCCAAAGGCGGAGACGTCGTTGGCCAGAGGTGGAGGCGTCGTTGGCAGAAGGCTCCGTCGTTCTCGTGATAAGCAAACACGTATAAGCAAAAGTGAAGAATTGCAATTTTGACTTTTGGGTCAATTTTGTTAAGTTTGCAAATTCTTTTTACCCTTTTTTTCTTCTGTATTAGTAAATCTGTTTTTTTTTTTTTTTTTTTTTTCCTTCAACGAGCTCAAATGGTCTTCTTATTTTTACGGAAATAATATTCTACACAATAAAAACCCACAACTTTTATTTCTGAGTGTATAATTATTATTTTTTTCACGTTTATTGTGATTTTTTTTCTATAATAGTTTAGTAATTAATTTAAACTTAAGAAACCCAAAACAAAATATTCTTAGTTTTCTATATAACTTTAAACATAACCATGTTTATAATTTCTCATTATTATTATTATTCGCAAGAAACATGTCTAATTCTCAAGTTCTTCATGAACCATGGCATGGACTCAAAATTTAATGGGCTTGATTATTGCAAGAAAACATGTCCAATTCTCATGTAGCATAAGCAAGCAAATTGATTACCAAAAAGCCAAAAAGGCTACCGATTCATTGGCCGATAATGTTGTCATGTTGTGACATAATTTTATGATTTTGCATACGTGATATGTATTTGGTTCATTTACTCCGAGCAATTTTGTGTGTTTTGTTGGCGTAATTTAGGAAAAAGCCTACAGAGGCATTTTAGGAAAATTGTTTTTATTATGTTTGTTTCCAGGTTTTAGAGTATGACTTAAACTCTTTTTTCTTTTATTATAAATATGCTACGTTATCACCAGTAAAATCAAAGTTTTTTCAGCAATAAAAGTTTTCTTTTCCACCAAGCAAAATCAAAAAATCTCGTGTCTCTCTTCCCCTGTTATCACCAGTTGCTTGCTGTGCAGTTTTCTTTCCTTCTTTCCTTCATGTTCTATTTTGTTTTCTGTTCTTAGGCAACAAGGTTGCAACAAGGTATCAGGTAGATACCTTACATGTCTAGTCTTTTGATTTACAAGTAGCTGGTTGACAGAATGACACACCAATCTAAGCATTTTAAGAAGCTTGGCTTTTAAAGTTTCTTTATAGTGGGGCCAACATATGAATATATCTTGTAATCAATTCATGCCCTATTATATTTAGCCATGTGTGACTTACTAACATTGTTAACTTAGCTACATAATTACAGATCCAAGAAAATTATGCATAAAATATTGATAATAATATATTTAGTTTCTGCAACAGTCACTGAAGAATTAATGCATTGGTATGTACATACTGCATGAAACTATGAATGCCAAAAGATAATGCCTCATAATTTTTGCTTTTTCAATGGTCTACATATTTGTTCTTGAATTTCATATTGAAGACCATTTATGATTCTTACTATCAATTTTCAGGTGATAATGGTATGTCCTCATACATGATACTGCTCAATGGATCCTGAAAGCAAGAATTTTGGAAGAGGTAATCTTGAAGATCAAATGCTTTCTTTTTTTCCACTTCCTATTCAGTTAAAACAATGTCAATAAAGGCCAAGAAGACATTGATACTATAATCACTACAACAAAAAATTCACAATAATGGAACAATTGTGAAACTTTGTTACTAATTAATAAAATTCTTTGTTAGTTTATTACACAAGTAACTATCTGCATTATGATGTGTTGGTAATCTAGGACCAAAGGAGCTCACTGACATCACAATCTGAAATTTCAACTCATGTCAAGATTTATTTTTTTGGAGGATGGAATGGAGAAGGTAATGGAATGAGTTATTCCATTCCATTTCTTCCCTGATTCCATCATTACCAAAGAATGATTCCATCGAATTGCTTTCACTATTTCGTTTTTTTTTTATCATTCTCTTGTAATCTGTGTGTTTTTGTTCATTAATCCCAGAAGAATTGTTATCCCAACAGTTTGTGGTGTTATTTTTATTGGTGGTTGTCGAGGCCAACAAAAATAATAACCATAAATATTACACACTAAAATACTGTATAGTGGTAAAGGGGTCGAATCCATGGGGATTGGTTCAATTTATAGCTCTATGAAAAATCTCTTTGTAAAAATACTTGTAAAATAACAATAAAAATATAATGGGCGGGGGGGGGGGGGTTATTTTGAAATACTTGAAACAAACTAGAATTAACTATGATTTAAATAGACAATTTCAACAAAAATAAGGGATTGATGTAAAATCAATAAGGGAGAGATGGTTGACTTAAAGTTTCCTCACTTTGACTTTTGATGAACAAATCATTAGAATCCAATGGTGCAATACTTGTTTTAAATCCTCAATTTGGCTATAATAATCCAAAAAGCTTGAGATTACCTAGACTTTTCTTAGTTGTTAAAATGGTTAGAGAAGCTCATAACAATTTCCTTAGTCAAAGTCACAATTTCCATTAAGCATGTAATTAGTGAAAGTCAACTAGCATTAAGAACCAAAAAGTCACCAAATCCAATAGGGGTCAAATGCTTTCACCACCATGTTGGAGGAAATGTTTTTAAGATTGTGTGAAGCAAAAACAACACAAAAATCATTTGTTGCTTGCTAATTTGAGGATCCTTTACTTAATCAAGAAATTAGCCAACTAATCATCACAAACACATTTAAACTCATGAATAAAAACATAATAGTAGTGATAATATGATAAAACACAAAACATTTCCATAAAGATTTAAGAACAAGTTCATGGATTCTTCAACATTCAACAAAAGTTCAAAGGATTCAACAAAAAGTCAACCAAGATTAGTTTAGCCAAGCATGACTAAACTCAAAGAAACAAAGTTAGTTAAGATTGTACCAAACATTTAACAAGAATCAAGAGATGAAAAGAAGATATTCTTGAAGTGTTCTTGGCCTTCAAAAGTACTCCAAACTCCAGAGAGAAAGTATCAAAATCGGACCTCCAAGATAAGGCTGAAGAGGCACACCAACCTTCCCAATATAGAGCTTTAAGTAAAATCCCGAAATTGCCCTTGTTAGGAATCCACGCGGGCCGCAGGGAATCTTACACGGGCCGCGTGACTTCGACGGGATTTTTGGGCTTCTTGAAGTCTTGGGCCCCCATAGCTAATCCATTGGCCCAGTTCGAATCCAACCAGCTCCTAGCCCATTTTTCTTCAATATTTTTTCAATTAAAGCCCAATTTGTCTTTCCACATCACTCAAAACTCCTGCAAACGCCTAAACATCGATTCTGCACACTCAAGAATTCTCCCGCGCCCTTTCATATGTAAAGTTCAACACTTCTGCGCCTTCAAGCAATCGATAAGCCTACTCCCTGAATCACCTCCAAAGCTATAAAGCACGAAATCCCCACTGCTCTTCAAGTCCAATCGCCTTCCAAAAGATCCCGCACACTCCCGCTCCTCTAGTTTCCTTAAAATCTGCAATAATGCTCAAGAAACTATAAAGTACCCGAAATGATCATAAAAATAACAAAAAGGAAAATATGCATGGAAATTAACTAAAATGCAAATGGAATGTGCTAAAAAAACTATAAAAAGAAGTAAATAAAATGAAGCTATCATTTATCTTGAGGGAATTTGAGTTCATAACAGTGTCACATAATTCACATTAATCTTGATGCAAAATACAACATGCAAAAGTTGTAATAAATGTTGATATGTATCCAAATTCCACCATCAGTAGTAACTAACATGACCAAAAGTAAAATGACTATATCCAAACAACATTTATTTATATGAAAGATCTGGTATGTAATGACATATTTACCCCTGATTAAGTAACAAATGGTGATGCTGAACTACTCCATGACTCAAAATTCTATCAAAATTACTATAAGAATTTTTTGAGACTGTTGATCTGGAATCCTCAAAAGAAGATATGCCAAAATGACCATATTGTCCTTTTTGAATTCTCTAATCCTTCTTTGATGTACCTGAAAGAAAGTGAGCAAACCAAACCATGAATGAAAGGGCATTTTGGTCATTTGATCAACAGTCAACTCAAGACATTTTTAATGAATTCATTAGTGGCATTACACTAGGAAAGTTTGATATTGGATAAACTAGCCAACAATGAGTTGACTTCTACAAGTTTTCACATATCAATGAGGGCAAGAATTAAAAAAGGGAATGTGGTCTTTGTGAGTAAGAAGTTGATATATTGAAATTGATTGGTATGAACTTAGTACTCAGGGACTGTCAAGTAGTATTTGTCATTCCAATGTTCATGTTAATTACAATTTATTTTAACAAGAGGGTGTTTGAATTTTAAGACGATGTTCATGTTAGTACAACTCATTAACCGTATTAGATGTTGTAATTGGGCATATTATATTTATTTAGCCCTTTCTAATATGGTTTTTATTTACAACTATATTAGATGTGGGTGTACTGTATAGCCTGTTTTCCTGTAGTGCCTGGAGGTGATGTTTTAATGATCAAAAAAGTGTTTCTGTTTGTGGGTATGTAATAGTGGAGGTAATTTTTTTTTATTTATCATCTGTTAAAAGATCTCAAATCCATCTCCCAACAATTTAATTAAATTTGGTATTTTCTTCAAATGGGCCTCGTAGGTGATAATTTTGTAAAAGTTTACATATATAAAATTTATAAACGAGTTTTTAGAAAAGATTACCTTTAAGGTATAATCTATAGCAGAAAGTTTTTGTGGCATCTTTGAATATGTTGTTGGATTAGTGTCTATATTTGGTAAGTACTTGATCCGGTTATGCATGGTCCTTTTGGGTTGCCTTCACCATAGCAACTTGACAGGATGATTTGTTAAGAGAGAAGAAATATTATTGTTAATATATTATGAGAATAATATATTAAAAAGGATTGATAATGTTATTTGTTTAATATAAGTCATATATTAATTGAGACTTAATTTGGTGACTTAAGGAGGTTAATTGAATAAAGGGGCATAAACTGTCAAATGTGTGATAATAGTGTTTTGGGCTATGTGTCCTTATAGATAATGGGGTGGATAAATTTAGGGTTTGGGAAGCTTAAAATTCGTCCAAGCCTAATATCTAGGAGGATCTTGTATTGCTTAGGGCCTAAGTTATTCAATTAGGGTTAAAGGTAAAACCCTAGTATCCCATAGTATAAATAGACCCCTAGGGTGAGGGAAATCGACACTCATGCAAGGCAAGAAACCCTAGGTCTGATTTCTCACCCTCCTTCCTCTCTCTCAAATCATCTTCTTGCTAGTTGGTGTTTGTAAGCCTTTAGAGGAGTGACAATTGTGACTCTAAGCTCCAAGAAGAAGAAGTATCAAACAAGCAACTCAAGGTATTCTTCTAGATCTGTTTTTCATATGCTATGAATTGTTTATTTACACTAGATCCATGAAATGAAAGTCTTGGATACATGCATGTTCAATTAAAGAAACCTAGATCCAAGAAATTAGGGTTTGCATGTGCACATAGGAAAGTTCTTATGGCTCAAACCCATCAGTGGTATTAGAGCATTGATTGATTTCTATTGAATTGATGCATTGGTTAATTGCTTGTTACTTGAAAAATTCGATTTTTGGTCTTCTGCTTGATGAACTCGGCGAGTTCCATTGTGGACTCGACGAGTAGCTCCAACTCGGCGAGTTCAAGCGTCAGAAAGAGGGAGTTTCGGGATTTCTTGTTGTTTTACTTGAGGAAACTTGCCTTAACTGTTTTGGGTCATTAAAATCCGATTTTAACCTTATATATGAGTGTATTCTTGACCAAACAAAAGATAATTACCAATTAGTTAAATAATAATTTCCTTATGTGATAATAATTGGTTATTTGAATTAAATTGGTGAATTGTTTTGCAAGTAATATCGAATAAGATCAAATTGAGATAATCTAATTGTTTATTTACATTATTTGCTATTTGATCCTTATGTTTTGAAAAGTTTAAAACTTGTCCTCAAGTTTTTGAAATTTAAGTTTTGTGATTAAAAGTTTAATTTGAATAATTTAAATTTCAAACCCTAGAATTTTACAAGTTTAAAATTCAAACCTATACTATTATATTATTATAAGCATAATGAATAGATATGTATAATTAAAATGCTAGTCTTACCGCTAGTAGGCCTAA